CGATTACACTATAATTGACCGAGATTGTATTAATTCGACTCAATTGGACTAATTGAAGGCCGATTACACTATAATTGACCGAGATTGTACTAATTTGACTTCATTTGGACTAATTCGAGTTCGATTACACTATAATTGACCGAGATTGTACTAATTCAACTTCAATTGGACTAATTCGAGTTCGATTACACTATAATTGACCGAGATTGTACTAATTCGACTTCAATTGGACTAATTCGACTTCAAATGGACTAATTCGAGTTCGATTACACTATAATTGACCGAGATTGTACTAGTTTGACTTCAATTGGACTAATTTGACTTCAATTGGACTATAATTGACTGTGATTTTACTAATTTGACTTCAATTGGACTAATTTGACTTCAATTGGAATAATTTGACATCATTTAGACTAATTCGAGGTCGAATACACTATAATTGACCGATATTTTACTAATTTGACTTCAATTGGACTAATTCGAGGTCGAATACATTATAATCGACCTCGAATTAGTCCAATTGAAGTCGAATTAGTACAATCTCGGTCAATTATAGTGTAATCGACCTCGAATTAGTCCAATTGAAGTCGGATTAGTACAATCTAGATCAATTATAGTGTAATCGAACTCGAATTATTCCAATTGAAGTTGAATTAGTACAATCTCGGTCAATTATAGTGTAATCGAACTCGAATTAGTCTAATTGAAGTCGAATTAGTACAATCTCGGTCAATTATAGTGTAATCGACCTCGAATTAGTCCAATTGAAGTCGAATTAGTACAATCTCGGTCAATTATAGTGTAATCGAACTCGAATTAGTCCAATTGAAGTCGAATTAGTACAATCTCGGTCAATTATAGTGTAATCGAACTCGAATTAATCCAATTGAAGTCGAATTAGTACAATCTCGGTCAATTATAGTGTAATCGAATTCAAATTAGCCCAATTGAAGTCGAATTAGTACAATTCTGGTCAATTATAGTGTAATCGAACTCGAATTAGTCCAATTGAAGTCGAATTAGTATAATCTCGGTCATTTATAGTGTAATCGAACTCGAATTAGTCCAATTGAAGTTGAATTAGTACAATCTCGTTCAATTATAGTGTAATCGACCTCGAATTAGTCCATTTGAAGTCGAATTAGTCCAATTGAAGTCGAATTAGTACAATCTCGGTCAATTATAGTGTAATCGAACTTGAATTAGTCCAATTGAAGTTGAATTAGTACAATCTAGGTCAATTATAGTGTAATAGAACTCGAATTAGTCCAATTGAAGTCGAATTAGTACAATCTCAGTCAATTATAGTGTAATCGAACTCGAATTAGTCCAATTGAAGTTGAATTAGTACAATCTCGGTCAATTATAGTGTAATTGAACTCGAATTAGTCCAATTGAAGTCGAATTAGTACAATCTCGGTCAATTATAATGTAATTGAACTCGAATTAGTCCAATTGAAGTCGAATTAGTACAATCTCGGTAAATTATAGTGTAATCGACCTCGAATTAGCCCAATTGAAGTCGAATTAGTACAATTTTGGTCAATTATAGTGTAATCGAACTCGAATTAGTCCAATTGAAATCAAATTAGTCCAGTTAAGTCAAATTAGTACAATCTCGGTCAAGTAAAGTGTAATCGAAGTTGAATTAATATAATCTCGGTCAATTATAGTGTAATCGAATTCGAAATAGTCCAATTGAAGTCGAATTAGTACAATTGAAGCCGAATTAGTACAATCTCGGTCAATTATAGTGTAATCGAACTCGAATTAGTCCAATTGAAGTCGAATTAGTACAATCTCGGTCAATTATAGTGTAATCGAACTCGAATTAGTCCAATTGAAGTCGAATTAGTACAATCTCGGTCAATTATAGTGTAATCGACCTCGAATTAGCCCAATTGAAGTCGAATTAGTACAATTGAAGTTGAATTAGTACAATCTCGGTCAATTATAGTGTAATCGAACTCGAATTAGTCCAATTGAAGTCGAATTAGTACAATCTCGGTCAATTATAGTGTAATCGAACTCGAATTAGTCCAATTGAAGTCGAATTAGTACAATCTCGGTCAATTATAGTGTAATCGACCTCGAATTAGCCCAATTGAAGTCGAATTAGTACAATTTTGGTCAATTATAGTGTAATCGAACTCGAATTAGTCCAATTGAAATCAAATTAGTCCAGTTGAAGTCAAATTAGTACAATCTCGGTCAAGTATAGTGTAATCAAAGTTGAATTAGTATAATCTCGGTCAATTATAGTGTAATCGAATTCGAAATAGTCCAATTGAAGTCGAATTAGTACAATTGAAGCCGAATTAGTACAATCGCGGTCAATTATAGTGTAATTGAACTCGAATTAGTCCAATTGAAGTCGAATTAGTACAATCTCGGTCAATTATAGTGTAATCGACCTTGAATTAGCCTAATTGAAGTAAAATTAGTACAATTTCGGTCAATTATAGTGTAATCGAACTCGAATTAGTCTAATTGAAGTCAAATTAGTACAATCTCGGTCAATTATAGTGTAATCGACCTCGAATTAGTCCAATTGAAGTCGAATTAGTCCAATTGAAGTCGAATTAGTACAATCTCGGTCAATTATAGTGTAATCGACCTCGAATTAGTCCAAATGAAGTCAAATTAGTACAATCTCGATCTATTATAGTGTAATCGAAATCGAATTAGTCAAATTGAAGTCAAATTAGTACAATCTCGGTCAATTATAGTGTAATCGAACTCGAATTAATCCAATTGAAGTCAAATCAGTACAATCTCGATCAATTATAGTGTGATCGAACTCGAATTAGTTCAATTGAAGTCAAATTAGTACATTCTCGATCTATTATAGTATGATCGAACTCGAATTAATCAAATTGAAGTTAAATTAGTACAATCTCG